GACCATGGGCTACCAGTGTGGCAGGTTTCAAGTCAAAATTCGAAAGTCGAATTTGGTCAAAATCCAAGCTCTATAGGCAAAAATTGACTATCTCAGCAACAAAGCACCATGGGGATGAACCAACTTAGGGTATTTCACTACTCATTGAAGTCTACAAGATACAAGTAGTCCGAGTTCAAAAGCGATTTATGACCTCAAGAGATTCCCTCGTAAGTCTGAGGAAGAGGAGAAAGATTTAAATTACTAACAGCGCAGTTATTTATGGCGCACCCGTTAATTCTGCAAAATGTCATTCTTCCCATGGACTGACTCGGCTTGACAACAGATGACGAAGCTGAAATATTTTTCTAGTTAGTGGAAGGCTCCGAAAGGCTGATAACGAGGCATGTTTTGTAGATGGTTTTATCACCTCATACACGTATTTCTTTCTATTTTCTAGCAGAGTTTTATAAGAAGGCTTCTATGTTGACAAAATTTCCGCTAAACCGTAACCTAAGTATCTGGCTATTAATCGAGATGCCACGGATCCTAGGTTTCACAAAAAACACATATTGTGATCAATCCTCGCCAAGTGTCCTCTTCGAAACCTTTCTTGTACAAACATAAACCTCTTCGACATGTGCGAGAAAAACTGACTGAAGTAGGATATCCTTCATCGCCTTCTCCGGAATTTTTCCATCGAGAAAACGCTTACCATACCTAGAAAAGTCTTCGAGAAGAAGGTTTTCCCAGTTGTTAGCATTTAGATTATTGCAGTTTAGACACCGTCACATGAGCTATAACGTTCATACAGAAATACAGATGGCAAGTCAGATGGACAGTCAGTCTACAGAACTTCTATCCTCCATCGTTATTTTGCATGGCGGCGAACAGAAAATTTCCAAGTCACAGAATCACCAATACATAAATTGCAATCGAAGTTTCTTTTGCACTAACTCTGAAGAATCTTAGAAGTTTTAGATTGAAAGAGTTCTTTAAATTTTCATTTCGTCGCGATTGTGACTTTGCCACGGTGTCAAGGATATTGAATTTTGTTCATACCTGAACATATTGCATTAAACATTGTATCTTCAATTGTGGTCTTTTCATCACTCACTTGATGTATATTTAAATAATGTTGATAATCTGGCTTCATTATATTTTCTAGTTGTTCCACATAACTGGTAAATTCAATATCTTTATCAGACATAAGTGGATATACTTTTCGTAAATAATATTCAATATCTTTCTTTTTGGGTATTCTTAACATAAAAAACACAACATAACTGAGTCAAAAGCTTTTTGGAAAAAAATACATTGATCAACCTTTTTCTTAAAAAAAGATTTTTTTACTAGACTACACTACTTTTTATGTACATTCATAAAATGATTTTTATCTGACCTTCTAGTTTTTTGGCTTTTACCAGATGTAACTAGACTTGAAATTACATTTGACATTTTACCACTATCCTTTAAAAAAAAAAGAAAATGTTTCCATAGACGAACATTATTATTGTTTTTACCTGAATGATGATGACTGGTCGCTTATTTCGAAGGTCATTTTGGATTACTTCTAATGAATGAAGATCCCCCCCAATAATGATTGTTAAAGTATAACCTTGAAGTTAAAATAGTATCACTATCAAATTATTCATATATTACTTACACTTTTATAATGGTTTTACATTTATTTTCACATTTTTCACATATCTTGTCAACAAATTCTGATCGTCGATTATCACCTAAATAACCTTGCAGTTCACCATTATCAAATAATACAAAATGAGTATGATGTAATTCAATTGTTTGCGTATCATTTTCATAAAATGTATCCATTCTAGAACATTTCCCAGTGTGATCATCATTGCGTGACTAAAAGTCATTATTTAAAAAATTCTATAAACATACACTGTAAGTAAATTAGAATTCTACTTCTGATTAACTTAGAAGACAAAATTAGAAACATTTAAGAACCACTGCAGGAGAAACAATTGAAGATATTTAATGTAATATGTTCATGTATGGACAAAATTCAATATCCCCGGCATCGTGGCAAAGTCATAATCGCGACGAAATGAAAACTTAAAAAAGTCTTTCAATCTAAAACTTCTAAGATTCTTCAGAGTAAGTGCAAAAGAAACTTCGATTGTAATTTATGTATTGGTGATTCTGCGAATTGGAAATTTTCTGTTCACCACCATGCATGCAAAATAACGGTGGAGGATAGAAGTTCTACCAGCAAGAGAAAGGTTAAACCTCAACCGGTAGAGGAGAACGTGAGGATCATTTTGCTAAAAAATGATTTTCAAACAGCTGCCAACTTTAAGGCAAAAGTGACATGGTTCAACAAACGGCCTTTCTACTCCATTACTGTGAATGTGAATTTTTCTCTACAAATAGCATGTCTAAAAGCGTCAAAAAAATGCCTAAGATTATTTTATTATGAAACTATTTTATTCTTGGTTTTCTTATACACCGTCCGATAGAGAATTTGACGCTAATCAAGAAGATCACATTCATAACCTTCTGAGTGCACGATTCCGCGAAGAAAAGTTCGGAATACTGTGAGGGTCTCAAAATAGGCGAACACCTGCGTGTTTCTAAAAGCTTCAATATTTTTTCTCCTTCCTATTTTCAAGCTCTCAAACAATGTTTTTCAGATTCAACATTAAAAATTCAACTAGAAAATGTATTTTCGAAGGTTTCCATATGTGACGTCACGGCAAGAAAAACTCGTTTACAAGCATAGCTCCAAAGCAAAGACCTCGCTGGAAAAAGCTATCCTGGTGTTTGTGTTAAGAGATGAAGGTCTGGTACTTGCACCAATCGATCTACCTCCATTTGTCATACAAAAATACGCATCGCTCTTCTTAAAGTTATCTTTGTTCCTCAAACAGTACATTTTTTCTGAATCGAAATTCTGCTCGTAGTTGTCTATTTTCTCCACTAGAACTTATCTTTTATGCAATAAAAATATCATATTCAGAGTTAGCGTCAAAGTTCAAGTCGAATGATACATGTTTCGGAATTTTTCGTTGATTTTCATTTTTTAGTGAAAATCTCAGCAATTTCTCGACGCGAAAATGCGAAAAAAACAAAAGTGATCGGAAGGATAAAAACTCCGAATATGATATTTTTTATTTTAGCTTTTTGCGGCGAGGTCTTCGCTTTGGAGCTATACTTGTAAACGAGTTTTTCTTGCCGTTACGTTACATATCGAAACCTTCGAAAATACATTTTCTAGTTCAATTTTGAATACTGAATCTGAAAAACATTGTTTGAGAGCGTGAAAGTAGGAACGAGAAAAAATATTGAAGCTTTTAGAAAGACGAAGGCTGTCCCCGTTTTTGAGACTCTCAGAGCATTTCGAAATTTTCTGCCCGGAAGCGTGCACTAAGGCTTTGAATGTGATATTCTTGATTAGCGTCAAATTCTCTATCGAATGGTGTATAAGAAATCCAAAGATGAATTCCTCCTTCGAATTACGGGCACCTTACATTTTTTTGCGTTGTGTTATGTTTTACTGTTTTAGCTTATAATCAGAGACTGGATACTGAGTACATTACTCAGTATTTTCGTACTTTTTTTACTTAAGAATTGTAGGTAAAAAGTATATGGTAGAAGTACAAGTAAATTTACTGGCAATTTTCGAGAATACTTAATTAGTGATACTGAGTACAAATATACTCAAGTATTGGTACTGAGTAAAAATGTACTTGCATATGATTGCGAAACATTTGCCTTCCTTCTCTAGTTTCAATTATTTTTGTATTTGTTATTTAACGAAATTTGTTTTTGGAGTTTAACTTGTAATCGCATATGCGATACTCCTAATGAACTTTATTTCGTTTGGACATGATTTAAAAAGTCCTACATATATATACAGTTTGGCTTAATAATTGAATGAAATAATAATAAGATGAGTCTTAACAAAGATATTAAAAGTTTATTGGGTAAGAAAAAATCAGTAAATGACAAGCATAATAACTTTTTCTTGATGTGGAATAAATTAGTTAAAAATAAAACAAAATCTTAATAAGATTTTGTTTTATTTTTTAATATAAGATGACCTTATATAAAAGCCAACTGATATACATAATAAAAAATGGTCAACTAGTTCTTAATATAGTTTGATTACCTTTGAAAAAAAACAGATCACGAAAGAATTGTTCGCTTATATTGGATCGTCGTGGCGATAAAATCAAACCAGCATAAGAGAATACACGCTCTACGGGAGCGGACGACGCTTGTACACTAAAGATACGTACGACTAATTTTTTCAAAAGATTCAATCGAGAAGCTAACTAATATTCAGAAAATCTGGTTCTTATCGGATCATTTCCGAAATTATTCGAATACGGATCAAAACTATATAATAAATCTACACAGTATCCAGCGATCTCTATATATGGTTATACCTTAGTATGACTCTTCAGTATATTAGTGCATGATATTGTTATTTGAGTACAAACGTACTGAAGTATCGGTACTTCGTACTAATGCGCTGAAGTACCAGCACTTAGTACAAATGTACTTAAGTAATTGTACTTGAGTAAAAGTCTAAAGTACAATTTTTAAGTGACAAGTATTTTCACTTGTACTTATTGTACTTGTACTCATCCAGTCTCTGCTTAGAATATGTTTCATATAGCAAGATATGTAGTATAGATAACCTTTTTCTATTGTCAAAATTATTGTTTTTGTGAAATATAATAGCGTTTGCTGTGACGAAAGTGAGTTCGAGGCGCAACCACATCTCAAATATAACTTGTACGTTAAATTTCGATAGATAGAAGAAAGTTGTTTGAACTACACATCTGGCTATTACATGAAACTCATTGTAAGCTAAAGCGGAAGAATAACAAAAAAGCGCAAAAATATACATATCAACATCTAACCTTAAGAAAACATGTACAAATCGACAGACAATCAATTATTCTATGGAGCTGATGCTGGGTTGACACGAAATTGTCTACAAAAGATAGTGGTTTTGCACCATGTACTAAATGAATCAGCCTTTTAAACCAACCTCTATATTAAACCATAGCAGAAGTTACTGTTCTGCGTAGTAGCTTTATTATTTACTTACTGCATCTTTTAATAGATTGCGTGTTTTTTCAACAAGTGATCCCCATTTTGTTAGCCCAATTAAGAAAACATTATGTCGTCCATTGGTTAATGTTGGCTTATCAGATATTTTACCATCATTTAAAACTTGAGATTGTAAATTATATTCACCAACTAATTTTGACACACCACTGTTCAAACCAGATGTTAAAATCCAAGTATCTACAGTGAGAAAACCTACAACTATGGATCAGAGTCATAATGACTCCTTACCGATTAATCTTGCTGCTCTGTTAATTCCTTTCATCAATTTTCTTTCGAATTTTCCATTCAAAGTGGAATATTTTCCACCATAAATAGAAATAACACATTTTGGTTTTATCTTGTTCGAATCTGTTTCAATTAAATTGTATAAAATCTCTTGATCACTTTGATTATCACATCTCACAAACTCAATGAAAATACAACAATTATTCAATGCTTTTAAAAGGTTCAATGTTTAACTAGAATATTTCAGTTATACAGTACTGGCCAAAGCTTTTCATACAAGTGATTCTTTTTCTTGCTTGAAGTATACCTCATTAAGAATTCTCCTCTACCGGCTGAGTTTGTTTTCGTTTTTTCGCCGACCTTAGACAGCGTAAACATTGACTTTATCAACTGTATGCAAAATTTTGGCCAACGATAAAAAGTACTCTTTTCGGTCTTCCAGATTTGGAATCATCAACAATGAACACATTTCAGTAAGTTCGTGCACAGATAGACTAGAGTTAGCAAGGAACTTTTTACTGAAAGTCGCTGATGAAAAACTCTTTTTCGTATTGAGGTACACTTCAAGCAATAAAAAGAGTCATCTGTATGGAAAACTTTGGTCAGTACTATATAAACCAAGCAATGTTAAGTATGGAAAAGCCTTTGACGACATTGCTGGAATACTATTACGAATTATGGTTCAAGAAAACAGAGTAAACTCAGCTAAAGGTATAGAAGGCTAGTTGTGTTGTTCGTTACTCACCTTTACTTTCCTCTTATTTGGCAATATTAAAATGCCATATGTTTCAAGTTTAGTATCTTTGGAATGTGTGTGAGAATTCCATTGAACTGATTGACTGAATTCACTACATTTAGTGTGGCATTTGTTGTTTTTTTTGCGACCACATTGGCATAGCAGAGACTGATCCTTTACCGGAAGGAAATGGTCACATTCACGTGACCACAATTTACATTCACCTATATATTTGCCAATCATATCATTCCATATATCATTAATATTGTTCGGCGCATTACTAATTGAAGAAGTATCACTCATCGAAAAAACAAAAATAATCGAAATAAGAAGTTAAAAACTGCATCACTAAATATCTTAGATCGCACAAAGATTCTTTACCATATAACAGCAAGAAGCGTTCAATCAAACAGTATATTTTCATAGAAAATCAAATTATACAACAATGTTGATTCAAAATTTAACACGGAATTTCACTTATAGAAAAGCAAAATAGGATTTCTGCTTACTGATAAATACTCCATAAAATGAGAAAAAACCTGTAAAAAAATAGCTTGATTTTAAAATGAATAGGAAATGATGAAGTGTTTAGAAATAAGAGATTACACACCACTAACAACAACAACTGAAGGAAACTGCATCTTCGTTAGCACATGAACGCCAGAACAGAAAATCTTCTTTTTTTAAAATATGACCTCAAAGTTTACAAATAAAATGTTGAAATTCACAACGGCTGTATTAGTTATCAAATTTCGCTATAAATCATTGTCTCTAAACCCTTCTAAGGTTGAGATTGCCTTGTTTTCCGTACATACATTTTAATACTTTATGAATGCAGTTAAAACTTCTTTCGAATCATTGCTTCTTGTAAATCGCCTGCAGCAAACTGTTGAATTAACGCAAGTTATTTACCATAAATATTTTGGACATTTCGACCAATAGATGCACGGTTATAATTTTTACTACTATTACCCAGTTTATAAGGCTTTGAATCTAAATAAAACACGAAAAAAGAGTTGAGAGGCAGAATTACTCAGACAGGACAAAACTCACGATAATGCTGCATATCACCGATTCTTTGTTCATTACTACCAGTTGTTCCAACATCGACATCATTAAGCGGTTCTATATAATCTGTGTAACAAAAGGAAAAAGCTAAATCACTATTAACATAAGCGCATTTTCATTGGCAATTCGACCTTTTAGCATGCTATGAAGCACCAACCCTTCATCGTCAACCGGTGAAAATAGGCGTTCGTGACACTCTCACAACCATGAACGCGCGCGATCGTGATCAAAAACAGGCCGTCACACTCACACCTACTTACCTGAATTGGATTGAGCAACTGAGCTGAATGCGAAGGAAGAATACCTCGCTTTGCGACTATGATTACCGATGTGGGTGCTACTAGATGACAGTTTCAATAGCTTAATATTTTTCGTGTGATTGACTGGAAAACGGTTGGAAAAAGGGTTTTGTTAAAAGTCCCATGATCGGTTAACCTATTTAGGGCTCTTCGTCGAAAACCGATTACGGCAGAAATAGGAAACCTAAAGGCGTCTATCATATCTCATCTTGTGGAAAAATGTTTGCTCTAAAAGACTTAGACGTTAGAAATATTGTAATATGCATAACTGATGGGTCAGAATAAATGGCGCATTTTTGTTCTTTGCTCTTGAAACACTTCCTAGTGGTGCAATGAGTTGGTTCTAAGCTCAATCGATACAGTATAATATTTAAAGATAAGGATACATTTAAGATCTGTTTTATAATAAAACAGAGACTTAATCCCAGGTT